TGCTTCTCCTGCTGCCGTGGAGGGCGCTGCAGCAGCAGCAGCAGCAGCAGCAGCAGCAGGATGTCCCTCGTCCGATATAAAGACATAACTGTGCGTCACGACGCGGCCGCGAGCAGCAGCAACTTCCCCTAAAGTCTGCAGCTGCAGCAAAACAAAACCCCACACCACCTGCTGCTGCTGCTGCTGCTGCTGCTGCTGCTGCTAAGTGCACAAAGGCCCGGGAGAGGGTTTAGGGTTTAGGGTTTAGGGGACTGCAGCGCAGCAGCAGACCTTGACAGCTTCGTGGCTGCTGCAGCAGCAACCCTGGGGGGCCCCCGAGGGCCCAAAAAGGGGCCTCCTTTCAGGAAAAGGGTCCAACCAACTTTCCACTTTCTTGTGGTTGGGGGCCCCCCTTTGGCAGGGCCTCGCCAGGGGGCACTCTGCAGCAGCAACGCACATTGCAGGGTACAGGGGGGCCCCCTGGGGGCCCCCGGGGGGCCCCCCGGGGGACTCCGGGGGGGCCCCCCCGGACTTGGGGGGCCCCCCTGGCCCACGCTTGGAACGGCCCATTGGACCCTCGAGGGGGGCCCCCAAGAGCAGCAAATGGTGGCGGGGGGCCCTCCGAGACACGCAGGGCTGCTGCAGAAAGTGGCTGCTGCGACGCGTGCAAACCCTAAACCCTAAACCCTAAACCCTAAACCCTAAAAACACCACTTCAGAGAATGGATGCCGGCTAGTGCATGCGCGCAGAGACGCACAAAGTGCTGCAGGGGCCTCCGACGCGGGGCCCCCACCGCTGCTGTGGCACCGCCAACTCGCTGACCCTAAACCCTAAACCCTAAACCCTAAACCCTAAACCCTGAATTATAAACCCCAAAATTGAACAGTTGTTTAGTTTAACAGTGCTGAACACCAACTGGGGGCCCTCCTCGCCTTTTGCTGCCACCAAAAGGGCCCCAGATTCTTCGGGGGGGCCCCCGGGGCCCCCGCGGCTGTGTCTCCCAAGAGCCAGAGTGAAAGGGGGCCCTTAAGCCTTTCTTCTGTGTGTGAAAAACCCTAATTTAGGGTTTGGGCTTAGGGTTTCACGAGAATGGAGGGCACTAGCCGCAGAAGACGGGCCCGGGCCCTCAGACTGCTGTAAACCCTAAACCCTAAACCCTAAACCCTCGACTCGGCTCTCTAAACCCTAACCTCTAAACCTCCTTCTACTTCAAAATAAACTTTCAATTAATTTGGGGCCCCTGGGGCCCTCTTGTTGCTTCCCATTGTGCAGCAGTGGCTGTCTCTGTTTTGTGCCAGCCACCAATTGAGCGTCTAGGGTTTAGGGTTTAGGGTTTAGGGTTTAGGGTTTAGGGTTTGCAGTGCGTGGCCCTGGAGCTTTCAGGTACCCTATAAGCACCCCATTCACCTCTCTTTCCCCTTCCAAGCCCCCCTGCCCCCCGGGGGGCCCCCCAGGGGGCCCCCCAGGGGGCCCCCAGGGGGGCCCCCAGTGGGAGGCCCCTGCTGGCGCCCAAGGGGGCCCCCTGGGTGGGGGCCCCCCCCTGGGGGCCCCCCCACCCGCAGCAGCTGAGATGGGGCCCCCCATTAGAGACACAAACAGCGAATGTGTCTGTTTTCAATCTTCTATTTCTTCTTTAGGCTTTTCCCCAAACTCCTGGGTTTGGGTGAGCCCCAGGGGGGCCCCCCGGGGGGCCCCCCAAAGGCCCCCTGCCCGCCTGCTGCGCCTCTTAGCTCTGCCGGACCAGCCGGGGGCCCCCCAGGGGGCCCCCCAGGGGGCCCCCCCGGGGGGCCCCCAGGGGGGCCCCCAGGGGGGCCCCCAGGAGGCAGAATGCCGCTGCTGGCTGAAGGCACTCGCCCTGCCTCTGTCTGAAGAGGCCCCCCCAGGGGCCCCCAGCCCCGGAGGTCTTCAAAAGGGTACTCAGGGGCCTCTTGTACCATCTGGGGGCCCCCAGGGGCCCCCGGAAGTCCCTGGGGGCCCCAGCGGGGGGCCCCCAGGGGCCCCCACAGGAGGCCCCATGGGGGCCCCCATCAAAGCTTTGGGCCTTTCCCCAGAACAGCTGCAGCAGGCTTCCCCTGAAGTGACCTTGGGGGGGCCCCAAGAGGGTACTTCAGAGGGGCCCCCAGAGGGGCCCCCAGGGGGGGCCCCCCAGGGGCCCCCTGAGGAAATCCCTGAGGGGGCCCCAGAGGGAACCTCAGAGGGGCCCCCAGAGGGGCCCCCAGAGGGGTCTCTAGAGGGACCCCTAGAGGGGCCCCCAGAGGGGTTCTCAGAGGTGGGGCCCCCAGAGGGGCCCCCAGAGGAGCCCCCAGAGGTGTCCCCAAGGGGGCCCCCAGAGGGGCCCCCAAGGGGGCCCCCAAGGGGGCCCCCAGAGGGGCCCCCAAGGGGGCCCCCCGAGGGTCTTTCTGGGCTGCCCGTTTTGTTTTTGCCAGGGGCTGTGCTGTGGGCCCTGGGTATTACCCCGGGGGAAGCAGAAGTAGATGTTTGGGAAGCCACTGAGTTTAACGCTGGCGGCCAAGGTGCTGCTGCTGCTGCTGCTGCTGCTGCTGCTGCTGCTGCTGCTGCTAGTGCTACGTTAGCTGCTGCTGCTGCGTTTGGCGCTGCTGCTGTTGCTGCTGCTTTGCATGCTGCTGCGTCTGCTGCTGCTGCAGTTGTTGCTGCTGTGCCTGCTGCTGCGTCCGCTACTACTGCTGTTCGGCTGCTGCGTGTGCTGCTCTTGCTGCTGCTGCTGCTGCTACGCGTGCTGCTGCTGCTGCTGCATCTTTTGCTGCTCAGGGGCCCCCGGGCGCTCCTCTTTGCCCCCTCCCTTCCGCCTGCTGCCAGTGGCCTCGCGCTGCCAGCTGCAGCAGCTGTACCCTCCTAGGGTGGACCCTTGGGGGCTCTTGGGGGCCCCCAGTTTGGGGCCCCCGGGGGCCCCGGGGGCCCCCCGGGGGGCCCCCCTGAGGGCTGAAGAGGCCCAGGAACTCCTTGCAGATTACTTTTCTGTGCCCCGCGTGTTGGCCGTGGGAGACATCTTTGCAGTACCCAGGGGGCCCCTCACTTACGGGGCCCCCTGCTGCACTGCGGGCTGCAGCAGGGGGGCCCCCCAGTACCCTGGGGGCCCCCCTGCTGGCTGCCCCTGCTGCCTCTCGCTGCACGAATTAGAACATGCTGAGGCCTTTGGCTTGGGGGCCCCCCGCTGTGCCCTTTTGTCTTCTCGAGTTCTTTGCAAAGCCAGCAAAAACCCGGACTTGGGGCCCCTCTTCGTTTGGGGCCCCCAGGGGCCCCCGGGGGCCCCTGCAGCGCAGCAACACGGCGCAGCAGCAGCCACCTGGGGGGCCCCCGAGGGGGCCCCCAGGGCCCCTGCAGACCCACGGGGGGCCCCCCTGTCCCCCCCGCAGCTGACGCAAAGGCTGGGGAGGGGGGCCCCCTGCAGCAAAAGGGGGGCCCCCCTCTGTCACTGGGGCCCCTCAGACCCTGTTTTTGGCTGCGGCGGCGCAGAGGCCCTTCACCAGGTAGCCATGGTCTTCAGAGTGGCAGCTTTGGACGGCCCGGGGGCCCCCCAGGGGCCCCCCTTAGGGGCCCCTAAAGGGGCCCCCGAAGGGGCCCCCAAAGGGGCCCCTAAAGGGGCCCCCGAAGGGGCCCCTAAAGGGGCCCCCAAAGGGGCCCCCGAAGGGGCCCCTAAAGGGGCCCCCAAAGGGGCCCCCGAAGGGGCCCCTAAAGGGGCCTCCGAAGGATCCCCTAAAGGGGCCCCGCAAGGGGCCCCTCTCTTGGGGGCCCCTGCAGGGGCACCCCGCGGGGCCCCCGGGGGCCCCTCGCTGCGGGCCCCCCCCGAGGGGCCCCCAGGGGGGCCCCCCACCGCTCCCCAGTGCAGAGTCGTAGTGAAAGGAGGGACAGATTTGCTGCTGCAGGAGGCCCCAGGTCGGGGGGCCCCCCCCCCTTATATGGTGGGTTTATGGGGCAGCAGTTTTTGGAAGTTTGAAAAGGAATTATTTCTTTTCTTTTTTTCTTTTTTAAATGTTTTTAATGCTTTTAAATGTTTTTAATTCTTTTAAATGCTTTTAATGCTTTTTAAATCTTTTTTTCTTTCTTTGTTTGCTCTCAGATGTTCCACGTCCTCAGGAGGGGCCCCCTCCCGGTGCTGCCGTCTTTGCGGGGCCCCCTGGACAGGTGGGGCCCCCTGTTGCTGCTGCTGCTGCTGCTGCTGCTGTTGCTGCTGCTGCTGCTGCTGCTGCTGCTGCTGCGCGGTGGGTCTGGCCTGCTGAGGCTCTTGTGGCTAGGGGGGCACCAGGGCCTCAGGGCTTCTCTCGCTGCTGCTGCTTCTGCTGCTGCTGCTGCTGCTGCTGCTGCTGCTGCAGGCTGCTGCGCTACGCCGTCACGCGGCTGCGCCTTGCTGCTGCTGCTGGAGACAGAGGCAGCGCCTTGCTGTGTGGGGCCGACGGGTAAGTGCAGCAAAAGAGCTGCTGCAGCTAGCTGCTGCAGCTAGCTGCTGCAGCTAGCTGCTGCAGCTAGCTGCTGCTGTGTCTAGCAACTGCCACTTTCTGCTGCTGCTGCTGTCAGCTGCTACCGCGTGCAGCTTTTCCTCCTGACAGCTGCTACTTCGAGCAGCTGGTGCTGCTGCGTGCTGCTGCGTGCTGCTGCTGCTGCGTGCTGCTGCTACCGCGTGCTGCTGCTGCTGCCGCTGCGTGCTGCTGCTGCTGCTAGCAGTCGCTGCTTCTAACAGCTGCTGCTGCGACAGAAAACATGAAAGCAACTAAGCCCTAAAGACACAGGCAGCAGCAGGGAGCTGGAAGCAGCAGCGACGCAGAAACAACCCCAGCAGCAGCACCAGCCGCAACAGCAGCAACAGCAGCAGCAGCGCAGCAGCAGCAGCAGCAGCAGCAGCAGGCAGTCGTTATTTGGATACTGCTTGTGTCTCTTTTCTGAATGCTGCAGCTGTGGGGCCCCTTTTATTGCAAATCGGATTTGTGCCATTTTGGGTCTAAATTGCATTTCCATTAATTGCTATGCACTTTCTCCCGCTGCTGCTGAAGCAGCAGCAGCAAGTAAGCTACCTAAGGCAGCTGCAGAGCCCCCAGGTGCTGCTGCTGCTGCTGCTGCAGCAGCAGCAAGTAAGCTACCTAAGGCAGCTGCAGAGCCCCCAGGTGCTGCTGCTGCTGCAGCAGCAGCAGCAGCCCGTGTCCCCACGCCTCAGCCGCCGCTGCTGCTGCTGCTGCTGCTGCACCCCGTGACCCCACGCCTCAGCCGCTGCTGCTGCTGTTTCTGCTGCTGCTGCTGCTGCTGCTGCAGAGGGTATTGTGCATTCTGATGGCTCTGTAGCCCCTGGGGGCAACAGCGCGCTTTCTGCTGCTCTCGTCGAGGGGGCCCTCAGGGGGGCCCCCTGTGTCATTTTGCTGCAGCACTTCAGTGCCCTTTCTCGCGACCCGGGGGCCCCCCCCTCCCGCATCGACAGACTCGACGTAAACCCTAAACCCTAGCTCAAACCCTAAGTCTACCTGCAGCAGCAGCAGCTTTTGGGGCCCCCCCTGCTTCTTTGGGGGCCCCTCAAACCCTAGGGCCCCCCAGGGCCTCTCTGAGAAGCTCCACTCCTTAGGGGCCCCCGGGGGCCCCTCTCTGAGGGCCCCCACTGCTTAGGGGCCCCCACGGGGCCCCCTCGGAGGGGCCCCCACTCCTGGGGGGCCCCCGGGGCCCCCGGGGGCCCCAAAAGTAAGTTGCTGCTGCCAAAGTAAAAGGCGCGGGGCTTTAATTGAATTGCCTGCGAACTCAGGGCCTCCTGGCTGCTCATTTGAAGTGGTTTTTGAGGGTCCACGGGAGGAGGGGGGCCCCCAGCAGTTTCTATGGGGGCCCCCCGGGGGGCCCCCCGGGGGGCCCCCCCGGGGGGCCCCCGGGGGGCCCCCCGGGGGCCCCCGTGTTGGTACTGGGGGTCTGTGAAGGCGAAGCGAGGGGAAAGGCAGAAGGCGTTGGCCCTGAATTAAAAAGTGCTTTTGAACTTGTGGTGCATTTAGAAAGGCCAGACAAAGAAACGCGAGAAATCGTAAGGGTTTAGGGTTTAGGGTTTAGGGTTTAGGGTTTAGGGTTTAGGGTGTGGGGTTTAGGGCTAAGGGTTTGGGTCAAGGGTTTAGGGTTTGGGGTTTAGACACGGGAAACACGGGGCGTCTACAGGAAGCAAAAGAAGGAAGTGAAGTAAATGGAATAAAAACAAATTAAAAAAAGAAATAAAAGAAATAAAAAGAAATAAATTTGTTTTTTTGTGGCTGCTCAGATATTTCAACGCCTTAATGAATTCTCAGGAGCTTTTGAATTCTCCGATGAAGAAACAGAAAAAAAAGCTGCTTCGGAATTTGCGGGGTGGGGGTTTGCTGCTGCTGGCAGCTGAGGTGTCTGTACACCTCAGGCCCTGCATGCACGCATGCATGCATGCATGCATGCACGCATGCATGCATGCATGCATGCATGCATGCATGCATGTGTGGGGCTGCCACAGGTTGACCAATGGTCTGACCATTGAGGACTCGAAGCGACTCTTCGGCTGTCTCGTCGACGCAGCAGCAGAGGGCCTCAGCAGCAGCAGCAGCAGCAGCAGCAGCGGCAGCAACAGCAGCAGCAACAACAGCAGCAGCAGCAGACACAGAGCAGGAGGGCCCTCTGCTGCTGCTGAAGCCCTTGAGGCGGATAAGGGGCTGATTGTGTTGAGTCAGCAGCTGCGTTTGTCTCCCAAAAGTAAACCCAAACCCTAAACCCCAAACCCTAAACCCTAAACCCTAGAGCCGGCCAGCTCGGATGCCTAGCCACGCCAGCGCCTTAAGCCCCAAACCCTAAACCCTAAACCCTAAACCCTCGTGTGTGTGCCTCTGTGGGCGCAGCTCTTCGGTCTCTGACGAAACCTTTTATCTCAAGTCAGCAGCAGTTTCTTTTTTATTTTTTTTTCATTTAAAAGGCCCATTTGTTCTCCTAAGAATTAATTATTCTTTTAATTAATTCTCAATTAAATGAAAATTTAATTAATTGAAAAAAATAATTTTTCATTTACGCTGAGGGCTCAGAGTTGAGGCTGTAAGGCTCAGAGCCCAGAATTCAAAAGTTAAAAGTTGACAGTTCAGGGTCCAGGGTTTAGGGTTTAGGGTTTAGGGTTTAGGGTTTCGGACCCAGGGTCAAGGGTTTAGGGTTTAGGGTTTCGGATTCAGGGTCTAGGTTTGAGTGCGTATGCTTGAAGGCCCGAGCTTCAGGGTTCAGGGTTTAGGGTTCAGGGTTCAGGGTTCAGGGTTTAGGGTTTAGGGTTTAGGGTTTAGGGTCTAGGGTTTAGGGTTTAGGGTTTAGGGTTTGCTGCAGGCAGCGACACTTCGACTGCGAGCATTCCCGAAGTGCACTGGGCCGACGTGGGCGGAATGGAAGACGCGAAGGAGCACATTAGGCAGCTCATCACTTTGCCTCTCAAACACCCCAAGCTCTTTTCCAGTGAGGCCCAGCTAGCTAGCTAGCTAGCTAGCTAGCTAGCTAGCTGCCAGCCAGCTGGCTAGCTAGCTAGCTGCCAGTTAGCTAGTTAGCTAGCTAGCTAGCTGCCAGTTAGCTAGCTAGCCAGATAGCTAGCTGCCAGCCAGCTGGCTAGCTAGCTAGCTGCCAGTTAGCTAGCTAGCTAGCTAGCTGCCAGCCAGCTGGCTAGCTAGCTAAGCGGCAGCTAGCTAGCTGGATGGTGGCTAGCTAGCCAGCTAGCTGGCAAGCTAGCTAGTAGCTGGCTAGCTGGCTAGCGAGCTAACTAGGCTTGCGTCTGCTTAGACAGCAGCAGAAGCTGCTAGCCAGGCAGCAGGGGCTCCTTTGGTGGCTGCGTCTGCGCCGGCTCCCCCTGCTGCTGCTGCTGTTGTTGCTGCTGCTGCTGCTGCTGCTGCTGCTGCTGCTGCTGGTCGCATGCGCTTTTTGTTCTTTACTCGAACTTACTGGCCATTCTGGTGGCCGCCTCCCCCTGCGTCTCCGCTGCTGCTACTGTTACTGCTGCTGCTACCGCTGCTGCTGCTGCTACCGCTGCTGCTGCTGCTGCTGCTGCTGCTGCTGCTGCAGACGCGCGCCTCCGCAGCGGCTGCCTCCTCTTCGGGCCCCCAGGCACTGGCAAGACGCTGCTGGCGAAGGCCATAGCGACGGAGTGCGACGTCAACTTCATTTCTGTCAAGGGTCCCGAGGTTTTGAACAAGTCCGTCGAGGGTTTAGGGTTTAGGGTTTAGGGTTTAGGGTTTAGGGTGTGTAGGGTCTAGGGTTTAGGGTTTAGGGTTTAGGGTTGGGGGTTTTGGGTGTGGGTTCGCCGCTGACGCTCTAGCGCTCTGGGTGTGGGTTTAGAGTTTAGGGCTAAGCGTCTAGGGTTTAGGGTTTAGGGTTTAGGGTTTGGGGATTAGGGTTTAGGGTTTGGAGTTTGGGGTTTGGGCTCGCCGCTGGGGCTCTAGTGCTCAGGGTGTGGGGTCTGCTGCTGCGGATTTGAGGTGTACGTACACCGCAGGTACATCGGAGAAAGCGAAAAAAATGTCAGAGACATTTTCGCGAAGGCGCGGGCCTGCCAGCCTTGTGTTTTGTTTTTCGACGAGATAGATGCCCTCGTGAGGGTTTAGGGTTTAGGGTTTAGGGTTTAGGGTTTGGGGTTTAGGGTTTAGGAGGCCGAACTTGTGCCTGCAAGTTTTTAGGGTTTATTTATTTAGGGTTTACGGTTTAGGGTTTAGGGTTTAGGGCCTAGGGGACAAAGCCTGTGTGCACTTTTCGACGGAAGGGATGCGCTGGTAGGGTTTAGCGTTTGAGTTTCGGGATTTGGGGTTTAGGGGAACAAGCCTGTGTCTTGTTTTTTGATGTAAGGGTTTAGGGTTTAGGGTTTAGGGTTTAGGGTTTGGTGGTGGCCCTCAACTAGGTTTTAGTTGTCCCGCTGCTTAGAGCCTTTGCCCTGCCGGCTAAACCCCAAACCCTAAACCCTCCAGCGAATCCAACAGTTGCAGTCTCTTCTGCGCGGACTAGCTAAAGGAGTTTATTGCTGCTACTGCTGTTGCTGCTGCTGCTGCTGCTGCTTCTGCTGCTGCTGCTGCTGCTGCATTGGTGTGCAGCTGCCCCGCCGAGGCAAAGCCTCTGACTCTGGAGGGGTTTTGGACAGAGTGGTGGCTCAAGTGCTCGCCGAGATGGACTCCTTGCCTCCCAAGGTCAGCAGCAGCAGCAGCAGCTGCTGCTGCTGCAGCAGCAACTGCAGCAGCAGCAGCTGCAGCAGCAGCAGCAGCTGCGTGTGGGAGCTTCTAGGGAGCCAGACAGCAGCAGCATGTAGTTAGAAAGCGGAGTAGCACACGCGCACGCATTTGGCCGTTGGTCTGTGTGCAGCAGCAGCAGCAGCAGCAGCAGCAGCAGCAGCAGCAAGGCGCAGCAGCAGCAGGAATTTGCGCAATGTTGAATAAAATGAATATTTGAAATGATTTGTTTTCAGGTTTTCGTAATTGGAGCAACAAACCGCATCGAGCTGCTGGATGGCGCTGCGCTGCGGGCCGGGCGGCTGCAGCGGCTGGTGTATGTGGGGGTGCAGCAAGACAAGGGGCCCCTGCTGCATGCACTGACACAGCAGCAAACAGTTTTGGGGGCCCCTGCTGCTTCTTTGCGGGCCCTGGAGAGCAGCAGCAGCAGCAGCGAGGCTGCTGCAGTGCTGCAGCAGCTCAAGGTGTACGTACACCCCGGAGCCACAGGCGCCGACTGCAAAGCCCTCTGCAGCAGCGCCGCTCTTTTGGCCATTAAAGAAAAAATCAAATTTGCAAAAACCCTCGAGAGTGAGACTCTGAGACACCCTCCTGCTGCTGCTGCTGCTGCTGCTGCTGTTGCTGCTGCTGCTGCGGCAGCACCGGTGCTGCTGCTAGGAGCTGCTGCAGCAGCTCATTTGGCCTTTATTCCCAGTCTCTGTGGGACTTTTCTCTTGTTGGTTTTTTTTGGGTCTTTCCATTTCTTTAACTCCTTCTATATTAAACTAGTGCAGATTCTTTGTCTATTAATTTATAAACATATGCATGCACATGTTATATCCTATTTATAAATATATTTAATATATTTGTATTCAAATATATATTCTCGGATACACTCTCTAGATAAAGAATATATATTTGTACTGACGTGCAGTTGCATGCGCGTATTTGTTTGTATTTTACTTATATAATCTGTATATGTATACAAATATGTATATATATATATATATATACATATATATATACATATATATATATACTATATTTATATGTTTATATATATATATACATTATATTTGTATGCTTATATATTAATACATGTAAATATTAACAGACATAGTGCTGGGTGTATGTACACTGTGATGTTCGCAAAGTTCTCTAAACGCAGCTGCGGGGATAAATATATGTTTTTGATTATTTGAAGATATATATTAATGCAAATATAATATATATGCAATATATAAAAGTATTAAATTAATATCTTTTCTGCATACTAGCGGTAATAGTAATGAAACAAACATTAATAATGCAGCAATGCATGCGCAAGTTGTTTCACTTTTTGCCTGTAATTACATGCAAGTTATGGCATTATATTTACATATTTACATATATATTAATATATGTATTAATATTACATATTTATATATTAATATATATATATATTAATATGTATTAATATATATATTAATATATATATATTAATATACATATTAATATATACTAATATATGTATTAATAATATATATTAATATATATATTCATATATATATTCATATATATATGAATATATATACTAATATATATATCGATATATATATACGTTAATATATAATATTAATACATATATTGACATATTATTTGTTGCCTTCTCTTCACTAAGTATTCCTTGCATTACTATTATTATATTAATAACTATATAGTTATTTAATAACTATCTAGCCAAACTGCGAGCCTCTTTGGTGGTTTTTCCGCGGCCTTGGCCAATAAATTGCCTTTTAGAATTTAATTTAAAATAAATTAAAAGAATTGTTTTGCTGCTGCAGCTGCCCTCGGGCTAATAAATTGCCTTTTAGAGTTTAATTTAAAATAAATTAAAAGAATTGCTTTGCTGCTGCAGCTGCTGTTTTGCTGCTGCAGCTGCCCTCGGGCTGCGGCCAAACGTGCTGCAGGCGGCGGCCCTGGGGGCGTGGGGCTGTATAGACCACGAGGCGGAGCCGCTGGGGTGTACGTACACCGTGGACTTGCTGCTGCCTGGCCCCGCAGCAGCAGCAGCAGCAGCAGCAGGGGGTGCTGCAGCAGCAGCAGCAGCAGAGGCCCCGAAGGCGCAGCTGCGGCTAATGAGCAACACAGAAGTGAAGGGGGGAGGGGAGGTGGAATGCCTCCAGGTGTGGCTGGGGTGTATGTACACCTCAGCAGAAGCAGCAGCAGCAAGCGAAAACGAAAAAGAAGAAACGAAAACTGAGGATCTCTTCTGGGCAGTGAGCACGCTGCCTGCAGCAGCAGCAGCAGCAGCAGCAGCGGGCGCCTGCAGCGGCGGGACCCTGCAGCTGCTGCTCCCGGCCGCTCCCCCCGAGCCGCCGCCGCCGCAGCAGCAGCAGCAGCAGCAGCAGCAGCAGCAGCAGCAGCAGCAGGAGGGGGCTTGTGCTGCGCGGCTCAACGGCCACAAAGCTGCAGCGTGGGCCCCAGCTAACTCCAGCCCCAAAAACTTTCTTTGCATGCATTTGGGGCCCCCCCCCTGTTTTTTATTTTCTGTGCATGTGCTGTACGTACACCTGAAAAAGGCCCTGCAGGAACTGCGGCCTTCAGTTTCCGCCCAGGACTTGCGGCGCTACGAGCGGCTGCGCGAGCAGTACGCGGCGCTGCTTTGATTTATTTCTTCAAAACAAGTTCAATTTAATTAATTAATTTGATTATTTATTTATTTATTTATTTATTTATTTGTTTATTTGCTCATTTGCCATGCATGCATGCATCTAACACGGGGCCTGACGCCCCCGACGAATGCGACCCCTGTACCCAGTTCTCCTCCTTATGTACTCCGTGCCGTTCATTATTTTTCTTTTCCGGTCAGAGAGCAGCAGCAGGGGCCCCGGGGGCCCCCCTGGGGGCCCCCTGGGGGGCCCCCACGGGGCCTCTCCTGGGGCCCCCCTGGGGGGCCCCCCGGGGGGCCCCCTGCTGCTGTGGGGGTCTGGGCGCTCGCAGGGGGCCCCCTCGTGGCCTTCGCCTGCTGCTGGCAGCAGGCCAGAAGGGGAGGGCGGGGGCCCCCGAGGAAGTGCAGAAAGGGCCCTGGAGGCCCCAGTGAAAGGCCGCAGAGAACTCTGGAAAGAAGAGTGAAGAAGTGGAAGCTGCTGCTGCGGCGGACTCGCAGCAGCAGACGCAGCAGCAACGCCGCCGCTGGCGAACTTGTACTGCAGCACAGGGGGACTGCGGCGGAGAGGCGCGGATAAACTTGGAACCTGTCTACAAACAGATGAAATTAAAGAATTTAATCCAGAAGAAACGCGGAAAATGGTCATTTTCAGCTCTTTTCGACGTTTCCGTCATGTGCATGCGCTACAGCAGCGGCAGTCCGCAGGTGTATGTACAGACGCATGCCGAAGAGGAAAACCGATGAAATATATCGATTTCTTCATATTAATAAAAATTATATTATTTATATTTTGGAAAACTCCTTATTGGGTGCGGCTAAACCCCAACAACTGGGACGGGGCTGTGTGGACTTGAGCTCCGGCGCTCTCGGCTTCTACAGGAAATCCGCAATAAATCAATCCAACTTTGCATTCTTGAGTTTTCTGCAATTATTAAATTGGAAATAAATTATTTTTAAAACACAATTTCATCTTTTTGCCGGTGGCTTCGTCACTTCTCCCGTAGATAGCTCTGAGTTGAAGCAACGCCCATTCAGTTTAGCTCGCGCCTCACATTCCATCTTTATTTCTTTTCCCTCAAGACCTCCCATGCATCGATTTTGGGGCTTTTTGTGAAAAGTTTTGAAATGGGAAAGTCGTGGGCTTTAGAAGCTGCAGACTGCAGCAGATCGAAAGATCGGAGCAAGCAAATTTGAATTGCGCAGGCTTAACTTTAGGAAGACCCTGCATGCATCTCTCTCTCGCGTTTAAAGAATTAGAAAGCCTCTGCATGCGTCTCTTTCTTTCGCTTTTAAAGAATTAAAAACATCTCCATTAATTCCAATCGAACATTTTCTCAAACTTCTGCTGCATGCAGCGACACCTCAGCATTTCAGAAGCCCCAAGTGATAGAGTAATACCTGCAGCAACAGCAAATACTGCAGCAGGGGCTGCAGGGAATGCAGCTAGCTGGGAGGGCCTGAGTCCTGAAACAGGTGGCTAGCTGCAGCTAGCTGCAGCTAGCTGCAGCTCGCTACAGCTAGCTGCAGCTAGCTGCAGTTGCCGTGGCCACTGAGCGAGCCATAGTCCAGGCAGTGTAGCTCACCCAGCTAGCTGCAGCTAGTTGCAGCTAGCTGCAGCTAGCTGCAGCTAGCTGCGGCCACTGAATGAGCCATGGACCCGGAAATGTGCTTTAATCAGCTAGCCACAGCTACCTGCAGCTGCAGCTAGCTGCAGCTAGCCACAGCTAGCTGCAGCTAGCTACGGCCACTGAATGAACGATAACATTGGAAATGTGACTAATTCCTTTCTAAATTGGGTTTTCTTATGGATAAAGACCTAGTGCAGGAGTGGGCGCAGCGCTGCACAATAGTGCAACATCTGTTTAATTTATTTCTTTTTAATTTATTTCTTTTTAATTCATGTTTTTTAATTCATTTTTTTGTTTTATTTCTGTACACCTACAATGTCCTAAAGAGAAGATCTTTCGCAACTCTCGATTCGCGCTGTAGCGACACCGTAGCAGTTTCAACTCGGGTGTACATACCTCCACTATTGCCATGTTTATATAATTATATATAAATGCGTACTTCTATAAACATAATGTATAAAACATAGATATTATATATATATATATGAATATATGCATATATATACATATATGCATGTATATTATATATTTTATATACATTCTGTTTATAAAATATAAGTAATGTTATGCGTATATTAGAGTATATCATATACTCAGTGTATACATAATGTACATATATATAAAATATATATTTGATTTTGTACATTAGTACAAACGTAATGCAAAAGTAGGAATGCATGCATGCACAGTGTGTATGTACACTTCAGAGAGAGTGGCATTTTGCAGCAACTGGTTTAAGTTCTTCTGATAAGACTTTAATGAGAAATACTTTTGTTTTTTCCTTTTGGAAACTTTTCAGCTTGCTTTGTTATCGATATTAATTCTATTTCCTAGCCGCCCTTGAAGCTTGGAGTGCAGAGAAGCAGAAGAAATTTGAAATTGTTTCAAAGTTCAACTTTCAACTATTTCAAAAGATAGTTTTAAAAGCCAAACTTGCTGCACTCTTGCTGCTTGTTGTCTTCTGCAGTGCTGCTTGTTTATGGGGCATTTATTATTATTAATAAGACTTTAAGTGAAAGTTTATTTTAAAATAACTTTAATACAATTACTGATATTCCTGCCTACGCTTTGCCGTGGAACTGTAAGGCTAAAGTTGAAGTGCAAATTGCGCATGCAGGCGAGAAGATGCTGCTGCTGCGGCTCCCTTTGAGTGCAGCAAATAGCCGAAAGTATTTGAAAAAGTCCCAAATGTGGGATTTTTGATTAGTTTGTTCGCCTAAAAGGCTACTTTTGCTTGCAGTTAGGCATCCGAGGTGTACAGACACTCGGATTGTCTTTAAATACAGCTCTTTCGAGGGTCTTAAGCTCTTGAGTTAAAGAGAAAAGCCCGCAGGTTTCTTATTGGCGCATGCGCTGCAGCACACAGAAGTAGCTAGCTCAGTGTCTATGTTGCTGCTGGCCCATTCCCAGCAGCTTTAATGGCGGCTATAGCAGCTGTAACTTCTCTTTAATATTTCTTTGCCAAGTGAAGGCTTTAATGACTTTAAAGGGGCTCGAAAAGGTTAAGGAAACCCAGCGCTCGATGGTGCTCCTGCTTAACTCAGTCCGCGCGAGTGGGTGGGGGCAAATACGGCATTACACACTCGCTAAGCAGAAATATGCTTTCAATTTTCATTAACTGAAATGAAATAAAATTCAAAACGGCGTCTTTCGAGGCATGGGCCATTTGCTACTCTGAGAAACCACTGTGACCAGTGGCCCCGTACGAGAACATAGGCGTAGCTAGTGTGCTCGAAGCCCGTCCGCAACTTTCGCAAAATTCCCCGTTATAAAATTCAGAAAACTATAATTGCAAAAAATAAGCTCACTTGTGCCACTTTTCGGTGGTGGTTTGGCGCTGGAGAAACTTCTTCTGCAGCATCGACAGAACCCTTGCCGGTTGCGTGCTAGCAGACGGATTGCCAGCTAAATTGCGGGTAATTCATCAACCTGGTGGTCTAAATTATTTCATTTAGCTTTAAATTTGCGTTTTGCTTTCTTTTTCAACGGGATCGTCGGGCGATTTAGCCGGGCGGGAGAGCTCGACATCCTAGGCAAGGCATGCAGGGCTGTGCCAGTGCGGTCGTTGTGTTTGGCTTTTCTGCTGCTTTAGATGAATGCAACTGTTGCAGATCCTTTTTTTAATTTATTTCCTCGGCTCTTTGCACAGTTGTCGCTTGCTCATTCGCCGCTGCTGCGCAGCGGAAATGTGAGGGTGGTCGGCTGGCTGCATTCTGAGCAGCAAACGTTTGACGGCAAAAGCACTAACTTCAAAGTGAATTGAATTATTACCTTCCTTTGCTCAAGCTGGCTCATTTCTATTCCTTTCGGCTCTCTTTCGAGCGCGCGTCCCCCTCGGGAAAGAGGCCGACTTCTCTGTTGTGCAGCTGCGCATCGAAGTTGAATGCATGAGGCAGTTTCTGGTACTCCCCCTGCCTGTGCACAACTAGCAGCACATAAGCGCCTGCGCAGCAGCTGACGCAGACGCAGGCTCTGCTTTCAGTTCAGTGGCCTCAGCTGCAGCGCAGCAAGCAGTGCAAGAAGCCCGAGCTTCTCTTTCTTTTCCTCTCTTCTGACGGAAATCCAAAACAAACTTCACAACACTGCCTTATAGCAGCGTAACACAATGTCTAACCACCTGAAAGGCCAGACGGCCCGGCAGGAGGTACCCCAAGAGCGGTACCTTCGCCACCACTCGGCGGTGATTCCCGTGGGGTTGGGCACAGGCCAGCTGCAGGTGAGAAGGCCCACAACGCATGCATGCAATTGCCTTTAGCCACATCTTTTTGCCTTATTATTTTGGCGCAGCTGTTTCCTACACTGAGTGAACGCAGAGCAGCACAGAGTCCAGCTAGTTAGGGCTGCCAGCCGGCATTTTCGCCTCTGTTTCGGCTGAGTTCGTTTAATTTTTTGATTTCTTTGCTTTCAAATGCCCAGGCCATGCGCTGCTGGACAGCTAAGAGCCCCGCAGTCCTCGCGAACCCAGCGCTCCTCTTCTCCCTGTGTGTTATTCGGCCCGGCTCTACTCGCGAGAAATACGTGTTGGAGCAGCTCGACCCGCCTTTGAAAGAAAGGTTTGAAGTGGACGCAGACGAAGTTTTGAATGCGAATAGTGAAGAAGACGAGTTGCAGTCGCCTGACATTGGGCTCTTGAACCACAAGAACGCCGCCTGTGTGCTTTCCATGTTGAAGACCCGCTACCTGGCGGGCAAAATGTACACCATGGCAGACCCGCTGCTGGTCGCAATTAATCCTTTTAAGGATCTTTTCCTACACTGAGTGAACGCAGAGCAGCACAGAGTCCAGCTAGTTAGGGCTGCCAGCCGGCATTTTCGCCTCTGTTTCGGCTGAGTTCGTTTAATTTTTTGATTTCTTTGCTTTCAAATGCCCAGGCCATGCGCTGCTGGACAGCTAAGAGCCCCGCAGTCCTCGCGAACCCAGCGCTCCTCTTCTCCCTGTGTGTTATTCGGCCCGGCTCTACTCGCGAGAAATACGTGTTGGAGCAGCTCGACCCGCCTTTGAAAGAAAGGTTTGAAGTGGACGCAGACGAAGTTTTGAATGCGAATAGTGAAGAAGACGAGTTGCAGTCGCCTGACATTGGGCTCTTGAACCACAAGAACGCCGCCTGTGTGCTTTCCATGTTGAAGACCCGCTACCTGGCGGGCAAAATGTACACCATGGCAGACCCGCTGCTGGTCGCAATTAATCCTTTTAAGGATCTCGGAAACGCCACTAAGAAGTGGATTGACTACTACCGCACCGCGCCAAACATTGCAGAGACGGAGCCGCACGTGTTCCGAGTTGCCCGCGCGGCTCTTTCGAATTTAGAAGATTACAACAAGAGCCAAACCATTATTGTGTCAGGCGAATCAGGGGCGGGAAAAACAGAAGCCACCAAACAGGTCATGCGCTACTTTGCTTCGAACGGCAGCGGTGACAGTCGGATTCAAGAAGCCATCATGGCTGGCAATCCTCTTCTCGAGTCCTTTGGAAATGCAAAGACCATACGCAACAACAACTCGAGTCGCTTTGGCCGCTTTATGCAGCTGACTCTCTCCAGCGAAAAAGGCATTTTATACGGCGCAATAACAAATTTCCTCCTTGAGAAGGTCCGGCTGGTTTCGCAGGAACCCAACGAACGGTCTTTTCACGTTATTTATCAGCTCCTTAAGGGCGCCGATGACGAAATGAAGAGCAAGTACCACTTACGTAAAATGGAAGAATACGTATTTCTCACGGCAAGGAGCGGAGGCTGCTTCGACATCGATGGAGTGGACGATAAGAAGGATTTCGAAGAACTCAAGCAGTGTTTTGCAGCCATGGAACTTCCCAGTGAAAACGAGTCATCAGTTTACTCCATTTTATCCGGCGTGCTGCTAATTGGCAACACAAAAATCACACCTCACGAAATGCAAGGAGTGCCGGACGCTGCTCATGTTTCGACAGAGTCACTGAACATTCTGAAGGAAGCTGGAGGGCTGCTCTTCGTGGACCCGACGCGCTTGGCTCAGGAAGTTCTCCGCAAGCACACCAAAGTTGGAAATCAGATGCTGGAGGGGCCGCGGACTTTCAGGGAAGCAGATATGATGGTCAAGTCTGTGGCGAAGCACGTTTACGATAAGCTGTTTGGGTGGCTGGTGGGGTTTCCTTAACAGAAGGATTGCGCCTCCTGAGGGTTTTGGCGTATTCATGGGCATGTTGGACATTTTCGGCTTCGAAGTATTTGAACATAACTCGCTGGAACAGCTCCTTATCAACATCACGAACGAGCACTTGCAGAAACACTTCATCGATGTTGTTTTTGAAACCGAGACCAAACTCTACAAAAGTGAGGGCATTCCCACGGAGTCCTTGGTGTGGACAGATAACGTACAAATCATGGAAACCCTCTGCGGCCCCCGGGATTCTGTCTTTGCAATCATTGAAGATATTTGCCTCGGACTTCGTGCGAGTGACGAGGTAAGGAGTGACTTACAAACCGCCGTAAGGGCGCAGCGTTCCGCTTAATGGGTGCATGGCAGGGGATTTCGTTTCACATCATGAAGTGACACTTTTAGTAAAGTTACTGGCAATTGCGTGGTGACTGCGAGCGCTAAGTTCCACTTATTCATTTTGTGCCTTCTTATTTGGCTGGCTCGTTTTGTTCGGCGCAGGCGCTGTGCGGCATGATTGTCCGAAAGCTTGGGGGAAAAGGCATAGTGTTGCCTTCTCGTCGAGACCAGCGAATAAAGTTTGTCGTTCGGCACACCATTGCAGACATAGAGTACTCATGTGATGGTTTCCTGGAGAAGAACCAAGACTTCCTGAAGAGGGAGCTGCTGGACGTTCTCAAGGAATCGAAAGACACAGTCATGTCGCAAATGTTCGAAGGGGTTGTGGTGGAGGCAGGAAAGATAGGAAAGGGTTCCCTTATTGCTTCGCAATTCTTGCGGTCTCTCAATTCAATGATTGGCATTATTCGAGTGAGTGTTCACTACTCGTTTCCTTGTTAAACAGGCTTACTTGAAGCATACTTGGCGGCTCATTTTGTCGAATTGCGTGATTGAAACTATCGAAGGCCTTTTTGGTGCTGTTTTTCAGGGAACCGAACCTCACTTTATTCGCTGTTTGAAGCCGAACGAAACAAAAAGACCGCTGGAATGGGATGCGCCAAAGGTACTCAATCAGTTGTTTTCTTTGTCTATTCTTGAGGCCTTGCAGCTGCGACAGATCGGCTATTCTTACAGACGAACGTTTGAAGAATTCGTCAAGCGCTTCCGCTGGCTGGATTTGGGGGCGGCCAACTCGGACAGAGATCGTGAAGAAGTGGCTAGAAGCATGCTTGAGGCTTCTGGCCTTCCACGCGATGAGTGGGCTGTAAGCAGCCGCTGAAGCTGGTGCCTTCATTAATTATATGTATTACTCATTGGTTCACTGCGTTGAATATTCACGAAAAAGTACTGCAGTGCTACTTATGTTGGTCGCTGTTGATCATTTATGCTGCTCATGCAGATCGGCAAGACAATGGTGTTTCTGAAGGCGGAATCTGCTAGGGCTCTTGAAACGTTGCAAGCAGAGAAGATGATGCTGTTCCGTCCAGTGGTTGAGTTTGTTGAGGCGGCTTGGAAACGAATCTTACTGAAGAGGAATTTGGAAGCCGTATTGCCTTCCCTCATCAGGGTAGAGGCACACTGTAGACGGTGAGGAAATGCGACTTTTCCCTTTTGTAGAACTTGCTAGCTGGACTTTTGGCTTTACGCTTGTTATCGAGTACTATAAAACTGCGTCACCTTTGATTTGTCCATGGACAGCAATCGACATGTCACATAGTTTCTTTACTGGGTTTATGTGCCTATGCCCCGTGTTTGATGGAGCAAGGCTAGCAGCAAATGCTATGTGTTCAATTGTTTCTGCATGCTCAGGCAAGTGACACTGGTTGAGCATGGCGAGCTTGAATTGAGCCCAGGATTCACTGAATCCCTGCTGCAAGGCATTGACCACATGCAGCAGGTGAAGGAGCAGCGCGAGAGAGAACGGCAGCAACGGCTGGAAATGGCAGAACAAAAACGTGCCACCAGGAAACTCACGAAGGAAGAGAAACTTGCGCAACAAGTCCTCCGCATGTACAAGTCATGGGACAGTATGCGCGGCGTGGCGACAAAGCACGAAGGCTTCTTTCCCCCTGAGCTCGAGTATTTACGAGAGAAAAACAAGCGGCCTGCAGTTGAGCACCGCATCAAAGAGAAGGGTCAGTTTGCATGTGGCTACACATCTGAGTACAGAAGCACCAGCATACAACAGGCTGCTTTTCTTCATGTGTTAGAGACAGAGAAGTGCACTTTGAGTGACTCCAGTGAGCTTATCGTGGGTTCTTCCAGCTCGCCAAAGCAGCTAAATTACAGATAGAATGGCCCAAAATTGTGTTTCTTTCGGTTTTGTTCCCTGTGATGTGATGCAGCGCTCTCACACGTGGCCCGGCAGCAGTCGTTCCAAGACCCTGGGGTGGCGTATCATCTTTGGCGTAATGTGGAGACCCTCTATCAAGCTCCTCTGAGCGACAATCGGCTACAGAATATATGCACTTGCTTGCGGGATGATATGGATAAGATGTACGGCCATTTCTGGCAGGTAGTGGTGAACCGAACGGAGGCATTTGGGCTCGCCACTGCACACGCAAAGACGGAGCGCCACGTTGTAGATCAGCACGGGGTGTACAGAGACGGCAGAGTCTTCTGTTTCAACAATATCATTTTCAAATGCGTAAAGCCTTCCCGTGCCGGTGAGATATACAATCTCATAACACTTGACGCCCGATGCAGCTCACTTGCAGCAGTTACAAAGGCAGTTTCCACTTTTTCACACATTCCCGGTGGTATATCACTTTTTTGTATTCTTTTATTCTGCCTTGCATCTCAGAGATTAGGCTGCATGAGGAAGCTTCCGAGAAATCATATCTGTACTGCAGGCGGCACGACTTCTCTGGTACGCTGAGCACGGTACTTCAGCCATGAGAATGGAAAGGCAAATGCAGATATTCGTATGCGGCACCTTAGCATAAGTTTCAGCAACCATTTTCCCCATGCTTATGTCTGCTTTCAATGTTGCAGGCCTTGTGCGCGTGCGCAAAAGTTTAGTACCCCCATACATGCTTCAAGACGTCTCCTACATGATAGGCCATTTATTCAACCGATTTAAAGACAACAGAGACTGGACTGGCTTTGCAGAACGGCTCCAGTCTTACCTTTTGGGCCGCTATTCAGACCCTCATGGGGGCTCATGGAATGCGTTGGTGCAGGAAGGGTCATTCTTAGCTACCCGCTTGTGGGTAAAGCACAACAGATTCTTCCGGGTGGAGATCGACGGTGCTGCGGAGGCCAAAAACGGCTTCCAGGGCTGCCTCACAATTGTCTGCTTCGAGGCCTGCACTTCCTCATGAGCAATTAATACGTAATTCAAAAACTGCAGGCTAATGGTCTGCAGCTCTGCTAAGGCACAGAATGTACAGTCGACCTCCTCTTCTTGCAGCGAACAAAGCAATACATACTTAATTTGGAGGAGGCTATACGCCTTATTTTTGCAGAGAGCGATTAGGAGTGCAACTGCGTTGGGCATTCCTTCCGGCAATGCCAGCAAGGAGTCTTTTTATCTCAACTGAGGCTCATATTGTAGTTGTGTATCTGTCTTTTGGAATTTTATTTGATATATAGGGTAGCTGAGGCTAACCTGTGCACAAATACTTCCAAAAATCAGAAACTGTAGTGTTAAGCCTCGGACCGAAGCAACTGGCCAGCTGCAGTGACCTACCTATAGTCTATCACGTGTACTCTATATATAAGTATTCATGCGCGCATTCTGTCTGGGCACATACAGTTTAAGTCCAACAGCCGATAAGCATATACCTGAAAAGCATGCCTGCGCAGCACGCCGCTGTCAAGTCTGAAATGGACAAGTTGGCCAAAGCGCGTCTGGGGGTAAATAAGTGAAAGCAAAAAAAGGAAAATGATGAAATCCGGAGGCCAAATCACCTGTGCACCAGCATGAAATTAAGGAGTGGCTCCCACAGACGGCAACGCATACGCAGCGCTGCGTAATAATATCACATAGACGAGAGCAAGTATGACTATAAAAAGAAAATTGTAAAAAGGAAAAATTGGTTAAATAAGTATTCAAATGTCATCCGTCGCACCCCACTACACTGCTGAGACTGCAATCAGCCGACTTCCTAGACAGATTTGTCACGCGGCCGAACTACGAAAGAGCACCATCCGCCTTTTCCGGGCCCTTCAAAAGCAGCTTTCGCCCTTTCGAGTTCTGTCTCTAGTGCTAATGACCACTTTAGAGGAGTAAAGGGCAATTGCTGTTGCTCTTTGTGTCGTTGGTTTTGATGCTGCTCTTCAAAGTGCGTCAGGAGAGAAGTGGAGGCGTTGGAGCGGCATTTCTTCGAGCCCCTTCCGCTGCGTTCAAGTGCTGACTTCAACGCCATCAAACTAAAATATCTTAAGACAGCACACAACATCAAGAGCAGCAAAATGCGTCTTAACCCGCAACTGCAGTTCAAAGAACGATTTGATTTTCCGACACTGCAATTTTACTGTGGTCAACGTGCTTGCATGTTGTGCTTTAGATACCCTGCTTAGCATCCAGCTACCCTGTAAACTCGGGGCTCACCGGTGAGCGTCGCCGCAAGGCGACACAACAATGAGAAGGTCCTGCGGTTGCAGGGCGGCTAATAGCTCCACAAGGAGACGGTCAATCACTGCCACCACTTTCAAAGCCTCCTCGACACATATTCGGGGGAAAAGCACCTCAACTTGGCTTTTCAGGCCTGCAGCACCTGCTGAGCAAACCAGCAGCAGCGCAGCATTAGTAGCGCGCTGATACCAACGGTTCTGGCGTAAAAACTGCCAGCAAGCCAAACCTGCAGCTACAGCTACTTCAGCCACTCTATAAAGAAACACAGCAAAGCGTGCAGTAGCACGTACCAGCTAAGCAGTTGGCGATGGCTGGGTCATCCTGCATCGCCACCACATTCGAAAGCAGCAATACGCCACGCACAGAGAGCAAAAGGCGAAATTTCAGGCGTTTCCATAAGTGATTCTTCTCAACGCATTTTGCAAAATATAACATCCACATTTGCTGAAACTACAAACGAAACAAGACCAAACAAATACGTTGCTCCAGTCTGAGCGCTTTCCTGCGGTGCGACGCATTGACGAGTGATATCTGTGGTGATCCTACCAGAGAAGGATCACATATGTCCTCGCTGTCATCCGTCTCATTTTTGTCATCTGTAACTTTGTCTGAAGTATGGTTTGGTGTTTCAGTACTGGTGTCGGATCTGCTGCAGGCTTCCATCCTTTCTGCTTCTCTCTCTTGCGCCTGTCGCAGCAGCTGCGCCTCAGCGGCCAGTAACATATGCGCCCGATGGCTAAAGGCATAAATATTATCCTCAGGGGCGTGCAGTGTGCGACAACAAAACCGCTGGTACCCCCGCAGCACGCATACACCCCAAAGCGGCCTTCTGCAACTGCTCGTTTCTGTTCGCGAAGAGTCTGTCTCAGTTGAAGCAGTAGATGCATCAGCTCGAGTAGGAGAGACTGCCTGAGGAGTGTTGCACGTGCCACGATGTCTAAGCAGCCTCTTGCAAGCCCGCACCACCTCAGAGTCGTCTCTCAGCCCATCCGTGACGGATACCCCCTAATACAGACAATGTACGAAAGCGCAGAGGATATGCACATGAATTTTTTCTTTGCCTTCCGAAATACTTTTATAGAGCTAAATTATGCATAATGCCAGTCGCAGTGACACGCTTGGTCCACAATTACTCAGGATTTTAGTGCAGTTTTCACGTACCTCGAGTGCAAATGAGCAAGTATGCTCAATCGAGTCTGCTAAAAACAAGCATTCTGAGCTCTGCTGTTCACTGCGTGATATCTCGGCTATTTTCCTTTCGGCCGTTCCGTGATATAGGGCTTTCTCTTCGGCTCTGTCACTTTGTTGGGGCAACCTTTGGAGAGCTTGCATACACTTCCCCAAAGGCACTAGCTGCATCATGGGGGATGCAAACCCAGGCCCGTTTCGAATTTTTTTGAGTGCAAGCAACATTGCCATCTGAGCATCTTCGCAAGGGTTGTGACCGTCAGCCCTTTGAAGGGTTTTCTTCAAGTACTGCTGCGCCAGCCATTTCAAAGAGTGGCACCTTCCCCTCCGCGGGTGCGGATACAGCACCGATGTATCTATACAACGGGTGTGGACGAGATGAATAGCATGCAGGTCGTGCTCTAACGAGTGGCCGACCAGTATGGCTCCCGGTGGTAGCACTTTTCGTATCTTGCTGTGCAAATTGTCTAGGCTACAAGTCGCCTCGTCAAGAATTTCTTTAGTCAGTCCAGAAAATTCAGTCAGATAGTCCGATATGGGGTTCTTCGGTCGAACGAGCATATCTAGTAAGACACTGCAATCGCTGTCCACGATGCTTACGCGACCCACCTCCTTCCCCTCTGTAGTTTGCACCATTTCACAGTCAAGGCCAAACATCAAGCTCACCGCCGGCTGTTTACACACATCACAATCCCTCAGGTGTTAAAACTAAATTGAGGTTACATCCACGGCAGCAGATATACGCCAGCCAATGCTCTGGACACTATACTACATGCAGGGCAGGGTCGTACCTCAATAGCCTTTTTGCTGGGTGAAGGATCCTCTAAAGTGATATAATTGGGCGGCATCACCAGTTCTGTCCCTTGTTCTAAACAACTCACAAGAGGAAAACACAAGCTTGAAGGAATCAGCACTCCTCTACAGCAGCTTCCAGCTGCCATCCTTACCAGCAGATGCACGGGTAAGGCGACGGGCCACGAGAGGCTAAACAACTATGACAGAACAGATACAAAAACGATTCAAACGATTATCACAGTGCAAAGTTAAGCTCTGAAACTCCATAGTGTAACAATGTGACTGAAGACCCACCGTATCCCGGGAAGCCTCGAGTCCACAGCATCCTGCGATTCAGCAAGTATCCACTTAGACCGACGCCATCTGCAGCAGCGCAAGACATTCTACAGCACTTCAAGTCCTCGCACCAAACGAACTAAGCCTTAAAAGTTGTGAACAAAGCTGCATTGAACACAGTCGTGCAAAGGCTGCTGCATTCACGTTGAGGGAAACAGGATCACCTCTCGCAATCTTATGTTCTGTAGCGGTTGAAGGCGCAGTAAAAAGTTTCTGAATGCAAGAAGCAAACAAACTTTGAGGCAAACTGTCTACGCTCTTGCGCCGATCTTTACACTTGAAAGCCGCAGCTGCTGCTGCAGCCACTCATGCTCTAGGAATCATTCTAAAACTTTCGTGCCCCACCTCCACAATCCCGCAGCTTGCAGAAGCCTCCATGCGCGGAGTTTTTGTGTGTATCTTTTTCCTTGCTGCAAAACTCAAGACGCTCGATGAGGAGCTGCTCTCTTCTATTACATCTTCTAGATTTCCAAAGAACTGCTGCAGCTGCGAAACGTTCGGGAGAGCCCCGCAGAGTCCACTGCTGCAGTAAATGCGCAAAATGTTTGCGTCTATGTAAGGAACCACTGCCACCAATACAGACCCCACATTTTGGCTGTTGTGAATGCTCAACCAAGCAGGCTTCTCAGGCTCCTGAGAGCCATTAGCCGCACGCTGCTGCCGTTGCTGCTGCTGCTGCTGCTGCTGCTGCTGCTGCTGCTGTTCATAACGCTGCTGCTGGCGGGAGTAAAGCCTGGGAAAGCCACATACAGGGAGCTGCGACAGCCACCATTCATCCACCCTAGGATTTAAAAGTGTAAGGCACGGCTTTGCATCGTTACACATCCAAGCTCATGGAGTTGTCACTACGTGTATGTACAGTCAAAGCTTAGCGGACCATAGCAATATGTTCTGAATATCTTTAAAGCTGGCGCCCCTTTTAGAACGGCCAAGTTGTTTGATCGACACCTCCAAATGCCCCGGGGCGGGAACTGAGGGCACAAATAAGGGAGGTAAACAGTGCAGAAAAGCATTATTCAAAAGTTTTGAAAGTGCAATCAAATGGTTCAAAGAAAGGCCCTTCTTGTGTTTATACACGGAGTTCCCTACAGCATAAGGGATGGTACAGTGCCTTAATTCAAAGTAGGATAGAAGCAAAGCTTTCAAAGGGCTCGAGAAAAAGTCACCTTTGCTGGCTCCATGTGCCCCGCCGCTAATTTGCCTTTTCATGGCGGCCGCAGAGAGCTGTGAAATCGACCCCTGCAGCAGCCCCTGCTTGCTGCCTGCGATGCTGGTCTCTGCCACAAGCCAACTGCAGGCTTTGCTGCTTTGCTGCTGCTCCTGTCCAGGCCTGGCTCGTAGCGCTGCCCTTGGCCTTGCTTGGAGAGGTTTTCACGCACAGGCAAATGCTGTAGGGGATTTGTTGGGGAGGGAACTAGTTAATTTCCGGTGTACTAGCAGATCCAGCAGCCGCTGGTGTCTGCAGATCCTTAATAATACCATAGACGGAATAAGAAATGGATGGATTACCTAGTTATGTATGTTGAAGTACAAGAAAGAAATCGGAATAATCGAATGCTAGCTATTGAATTCCGCGAGGGCAACGGAAATGGCCAGGTGGGAAACTCGATGCTGCAGGCGGCTATGCATGCGAGCATGTGCGAAAAACATCTGTAGCTATCGAGGGACTAATTTTACTGTTGAAACGCCGATGAATTTATGAAGACACAACCTATGCGAAACACGAGGAAAGATGAGCTATTGATTCCTAAAAGTCGCTCCCTTCCTCGCAGTAGGCGTTTCAGCGGCCGCGTTGGCTTATTAGTTCTTCCGCAATTTTTACCTCTGGAAGCACAAGGAAACCGACACTGAGCTGTTTATTCTCTTTTTTGTGTCAATATTTCGTTTAATTGGGACTGTTTTCACCCTTACTTCGTGGACGAGCGCCACAACTCCCACCGGACAGACAGCCAGCAGATTGAGGACGTCCAGGAGGATGGTACGTCCTTGCACACGTACATTTGGCAGTTTGCCGTATTTCTGCGTAGGCAAAAGTTAACATCTTCCTTCTCTGTGTCCGCCTCAGCCAGCTGGAGCAGCTTTCCCCCTGCGCCATGTGCATCTTACCGGCACTCCTTGTGTCCCATGTTTGCTCAGAGTGGTCGGGGTGCCTATTACAGGGCCAAATATGGCGGTAAGACGATGCTGACTGGGCGTGCAGGACTTCAGCTGTGGGGTCGTAGTGCAGATGCAGAAGAGGAGCTTCCCTGTTTCGATGCTGCTGCTGCTGCTGCTGCAACGGCTGCTGCCTGTGCAGGAAGGGGCAGAGGCGGCCGCCACAACGTTTCGGGGGACGGCGGGCCCCCAGGCCACGCCTACGGGCAGCGGCAGTTCCAAGAAGAAGATGAGGAACCAGCAGGGGTCCGTGTCCGCAACAGTTCGCTATCATTTTTCTCATTTTTTATAAACTCCTCTGGAGTTCTTTTGCTGCGCACGTAAGGGGGAGGCAGCAGAAACAATTTGAGTGAGGTGTTGTGTTTCAGGCTGGAGTGAGGCCTTCATCCTCTCCTTACTTGCACCAGAAGGACCTCTCGAGGTGTCTAATCAGCTTAGAAGGTGCAACACTCGAAAGATTCAGGCTTGCATGCACCCTAAACACTAAACACTGCAGCCTTACTTCCTTTTTATTTACTTAAAATTATTTATTTCATCAGGCTACCTGGCGGGCAAAATGTACACCATGGCAGACCCGCTGCTGGTCGCAATTAATCCTTTTAAGGATCTCGGAAACGCCACTAAGAAG